AATAGTGTTATTATACATTTTGCTTTTGATTGAATACATCTCTCAACACTTCTTAAATGTGTCAACAAGGTACTTTAGTTCTTGAATATCTCTTTACACATTTACATCATTAAAATCACTGAGCATTTATTAACCTGATGATGTTATGATAAATATAGAGCAGTCATGAACAGTGGTGGATGGACTAGTCTTTCAACCAATCATAGCCAATGTGCCTTTTTAAAAATTAAAAATAATAATTTAAATAATTGTCAATGTCACTAAACAAAAATCAGCATAAAGGCCTGTTTATACTTTAACGATAAAAAAGTTAAAAAGCAATTGTTCATGTAGAAAACAAAAGAAATAAGAGAAATGTTTACACTAGGACTATTCGATAACGATTTATCGTGTATACGATAACAAAATATTCTAACAACTCAAATCAGATGACGTCATATTCATGGAAAAATGATAAAATCGTTGCTACTACTACGATTTTAATTTTTTTTTCCATGATTACAACGTCATCTGATTTGATTTGTCAAAATATGTTGTTATCGCATAACTGATAAATTGTTATCACATTGTTCTAGTATAAAAGCTTCTCTTATTTCTTTTATTTTCTATACGAACAATTGCTTTTTAGCTTTTTTATCGTTATCGTTAAAGTATAAACAGGCCTTAAAGCCTAGTTTCCTTAAAAGTGCTACATTGCAATCTTTGTACTGTGTAGCAGTCCCCGAAAGCCCCGATTCGACCAACCAATCAGCATCACCGAAAGCTGTTGGCGAAAGCATGTAGCGATTGTATTGCTTTACACGTCAGTAATTATGTGTCTGAAGTTCTTAAAAGTGGTATTGAATACAAAACATATATTACCTTTTGAGGTGATAGGTGTTGGATTTTTGGAACTACCTTCAAACATGAATTGGATGGAGGTAGTGCCAATCATCCAAAAACGCTGTTCACTGTTTACTGAAATAAAGCCATGTTGTATTTGTTTTACTATACCCGCCCTTAGTTTACTGACCCGATAACTATTTGACTCCTAGTAAGCCCTTGCATATGGATGGAAGAATATATTTTTTATAGATTCAGTTAAATTCTAAATTAATGACTAAAAAAATTGACCAAAAAATATTTTCAGAATTTTATGACATTGGAATCATGGATTCATGGAGTATTTTGATCATTAAGATGGTTTCCTTCCAATCTAAGGACCTTGCTTTATCCTGTTGCAAGATACTTTTCTCACCACTAAAATTAATTCCACTTCTTAAACATCATTCCACCCTTTAATTGGCAACTTTACATGAGGTTGAATGTGAATGAAATGAAAAATATAATATGTACATTCTGCTCATGGTGATGATAGAAGATGGTAGTACGGTGTTACTGAATAATCTATCAATCAATCATTCATTCATTCATTCATCTGTACTTCTAAGGTGACAAATTTCATCTCACTAATGATACTGGCAGGCATATGATATTGAAAATGATACATTAGCTACATCAGTTTAATGTATGTTGGAAGTGAGCACTTTGTTAAAATTAGTTTCAGTAAATTTATTTATTAATATGATGTTTCATAATAATTACCTGCCTTCATGTGAATGTTGTTCTCACTGACATCCTATAGTTGTGCGGTAGTAAACAAACATTGAATAATACATAAATGTCATCTATTAATTATGTGAACCAGTGAATGTTTATTGAAATTATTACGAGGTGCAGTAATATATATGTGGAGGCGGTTTGGCGCAGTGGAAACATTATTGTTTCCCAACCTTGATGTCAGGGTTTAAATTCTTCGCTGTGCATTTTGCTTGTGTCCTTGTGTAAAGCACTTTATGTACATTTCATATACCCAGCTGTAGCAATGGGGAGTTACCTGCAGTGGACTAGAGTCCCACCCAGAGGGAGTACCAGTCACACTCTCTTATTATGTGTGTTTATAATAATAATTACTGTTGAAATATAATGAATAAAAGGTATAGCCGCGTTAGTCTGATACAGTATAGAAAAATATAAAGTAAATGACAGCAGCACTTTTGAGACTAACAATATGGAATTTATTCTCTAGCTTTCGTCCACACAGTGGATTTCATCAGGAGAATCTATATTTGTACAGTCTCCTGATGAAGTCCACTGTGTGGATGAAAGGTAGATAATAAATTCTATATTGTTAGTCCCAAAAGTGCTGCTGTCACTTAATTTGTATTGTTGAAATATAATAATAATAATAAATTATTGAAATTTACAATGTGCCATCAAGATCAACTCCATCAGCTTGCGTTCTTGTTAAATAAATTAAAGTGACTCAAAAGATATAGGAATGGTATTTTTAATTCTGTTTAATGGGCAACAAAAATATAGTCCAATTTCTAATTTCCAGCTAAACTTAAATAATTTTCTTGCGTATGCAAAGTAATTAAAATATTTTTTTTTTTTAAAGCAAATTTTTTTAAGCACAGAATATAGTTTTAAATTTAATAAACAAACTAGCATATTGCTAGTTATTGAATTTTCTTTGCAGTGTTTTTCCTAGTGTAAATATCTTAATTAGTAGAAGGAAATTGTTTACCATGTTGTGAAAACAACAGGTCATCAACCTTTATCAATGTACAACACATTTCTGCTAGTGCATAGATATAATAGCTTTTTTTCTGGTTCATGTATTTATTATGAATACAACTCATTATTATTATCTCTCGCTTCGAGATGCGCCATCACCAGCGAGAGGAAACAGATTGCGTATTTAACAATACATGTTTTTTTTTTTTCTCGTGTTGATGAACTTTTTGAACTTATTATTGATATTTAGTAATTCTAAAATAAGGAACATAGTCATATTTTCTAGATATGCAATTAATCTTGGTTTTATGCTAAAATAAACATTTAGATTATATTGTTTTTTTTTATATTGCAATTATTGAAATCATTTACAATGTGTAATTGTTTTAATAATTATATAGTTAAAATTATTGTGATTTTCTTTTAACCACACATATTTATTACAAGGTGCTAACAGCTATGCTAAAAAGAAATGGAGAAAATTTAGAGCCTCTAAAATAATTTACTATGAACAGAAACCTACTCAACTACTGAGTATGCTGTACATCATGTAGGCTACCATTTTTCAATGTTTAAAAACTGGCTAGCATATACTATAACTTGTCACAACATACCTGTAATAGTGGCAGTAAATACTAAACAAATTAAAGCTCACAAACAAAACAAAAAAAAACTGGCCTTCTTACATCAGACAAGTAATTTGGGCTCTACATAAATATATATTTTCGCGACGCACCTTTAGGCTGCTACAATCAAGAGGAAACAGTCATTAAGAAACTGTATGTAGCGGTAGCTTTTACTACGAAGGAATGGGAATTCCGAACTAATCCATGTGCAAGCGCAGTTACCAAAGAGCATCCATGAAATATGTATAAAAAAACACAGTGAGCATGCGCTTGGCAAGTCTAGACAGCCAATCAAGGAGAATTGTAATTAAATTATCGCAAACAACAGTTTATTTGGCTCTATCGTTGTACGTACGTATGCATTGACAATCCGATAAAAAATAACCACAGAAACTGATGACACAACCTGGGCTAGGCCTCTGGGCAGCTACTAATAATAGCCAAGTAGGGGCAAGCTTGGCTAAGTCGCATTGTCTCCAAAGATACAGTGCTATACGCTGAAGAAGTATAGCGTACACATGCTATTCATTGTATGCATCCATATTATTGACAATTCGAAAAAAAAAATAGCCACACAAACTGAGAGCAGTAGGCCTAGCTATTGGGGGTGGGTGGGCAGCTGTCTCTTATACACATCTAGATGTGTATAAGAGACAGTGCTAACAGCTATGCTAAAAAGAAATGGAGAAAATTTAGAGCCTCTGCAGGGGGGGCTAGCCAATCCAAAGCTGAAGCATAAAAATCGGCTATGGTGGAATTTGTCTATAACTCATCCAACCCAGCCAGAAGAATAATAAAAATAATAAAATATTTTTTTTAAATGGAATACAAATAAATAACATAAAATATAATAATAATAATAATAATAACAACAACATTAATGGTAAGAACACAGGCTAAAAAAAGTCTATATGGTAGGCCAGGCCTCCATCAAATCATATATAACACTTTTTATATTTCTAGTGTGGAGTACTATTTAGTATGTTTTTAAAATTTAATCCTGTGACCACAATGTAAATAACTTCATGGCTATTGTTACACCAGTTGAACCAATTCTACCTGTAGGCTATTATTTTTATGTTTTTGTGTCATATCATAATAGATAAATGCAGTGAAGATGATATAGGTCATTCTCAAGTATACATTAATTAGTATTAATTTTGGAAATACAAACCAGTCATAAGTTAAAGATGTTGCAGCATTTTTTATAGGAAATATTTCATGTTTATATATACTATATTTTTAATATTTGATTTTTTTTTATGTTACTGTTATATTCTCATGTTTTTTTTATATTTGTGCAAAACGTCTAAAGCTTGGTTTCCATAGAATCGCTCCCTCTGTCGGCAACAGACGCCGAAAGTTTGCGGGAATGTTGAATCTGGTTCAACTTTAACGATTGCGTTGCAGACAAATCGGGGTGCTTTTCCGATTGCGTCAGGACAGCTAGCAATGCACCCTGATTCATCTGCAACGCAATCAGGCACAGTTGAACCCGGTTCAAACGTCCCGACAACTGTCAGCAACTGTCACCGATAGGGTGAGCGTTTCTATGGAAACCGTACTTCACATGTTTTGTCAGAATTGAACCTAAGACATTCGCATTGGAAAGTGGGTACCATCTTTCCACAGTCCATTTCAAAGAGAGTTAATTTTTTAAATGAGGCTTAAACCAACATCTTGTGTAACATAAATTATAATTTTATCTTCTAAATATTTTACATTGACTTTTAAACAAAATGTTCTATGCTTGTAAGTTACACTTTGAGTGATTTACATATTTTAATTGATTAAAATCATCCTTTTGTATTATAGATCTTATCCAACATCATCTTATTTGTAGCTGTAAATTTGGCCGGTGTTTTCACCCATTACCCCACCGAGGTGGCACAACGTCAAACTTTTTTAGAGACAAGACGCTGCATAAAAGCCAGGCTGACAACATCTCGAGAAAATCAACAACAGGTAAAGTGATTAAACCTACTGAATTCGCTGAATTATTTATAGAACCATGGTGTTAAATAATAATAATAATTTCTTTCAACATTGTTAAATCCATTGTTGTGTGTTTACAGCAGCTAGTCGGCCCCTTTGATTGGGAGCAAGGTCCAATTGGTTTGTCCAGCGCAATGGTTTTTTCTATATTGTTTGCCTAACTGATTTGTAGTGCAGACTAGATCCTACAGCATCTATTTTTTTTTAAATGGCAGAAGGTGTCTGCACACCCAGAAAAAGATGAACTAAGAATTCAATTCAGTTCAGTGTAACGTTTATTTCTCTTTTTTTTCATATATGTACAGCTTTTAAAGAAAAAGATAAATATTAATTTCTGAAAGGCAAAAACCCAAAAAGTAAAAGCTTGTTAAGGGCTGCCTGAATATAAAGAGTCAATAAATTGTAGAGATATTCTGTTAAAAAAATAAACTTGAATAAAATGAAAACACCATAAAATATCAGTGATTATAAATATATTTAATGACCAAGGGATAAAAAATGAACTTATGTGTAGTTTTAGAATTCATGGCTGTATGTAGATATTAGATACTTTTTTAGCTTTATCGAGAACAAAGTTAGGAAGTTAAGGGGGTAGACATAAAAGCAAAAAAAAATGTTTCTAAGCAAGATTTGAAGGAAGTTGCATACAGTGACAAGGCGCAACGGAGAAACGACAGCTATAAGTTTTGGTTTCATACTTTTTAGTTGAATTTTATGTGAGGTTTATAACCAGGAATGAATTCTATGAGATAAGCAGCTGAATTGTGAAATTTAATCTTAAACATTATTACAAAAGTCTTTTGAATTATATGCGTGTTTTGTATCCTTTGAGCCAATGGAGCTCATTATTAAGCAAAAGATTTATGTGCTCACATGTCTCTTCATATGGCAACTGTATTTTCAGTTTGTAAAGTTTATTCTCCTCTGATTTTGGCAAGCCGTAAAAATAACTATATTTCAATATAATCTAAGTAAAATGCATGAACTAGCTTTTCGGTAGTCACATTGTCTTGATATTCTCTTATGGAGGTAATCTTTTTGATTGCTATTAGAGAGGCCTGACATATGGAGTCAACATGTTGTGACGATAGCATGAATCAGGCATGAACTGATGAAGTAATCCCCCCACCCCCTTAACGTATAACTAGATGAATGAACAATGGAATTTGCCAAGTTAATGCTTTCAGAAGGTTTAAGTGAAAACTGAATCGTGATGTTGTGTTTTTGTGTCATGAAACAAATACTGTTTTCATGAAAACCATTGCCTGAATTCATGAAATTATCTGTTGAAATCATTAGTACTAGAAAACCCAGTGATTAGGGAACTGGTAACACAGCAATGTGTAGCCAATTATATTTTTGCGCTGTATTATACAAAATCCCCTCTCATACAAAAGCCGATGAGAGGTAACAAATTTATAGTGGTTTTTCATTAGCAAATACCCGCCTGATATCAAATCAATCAACTGAACTTTCATATTTTATGGGTAGGTGTATTAATAATAGAAAGATGTTACTTTTTCATAATGATAATGGCGATAATGTTTTTCCAGCAAACACAGAACATCATTATCAAATTTGCAATATTCATTATCTTTGATTTTATTTTTTCAAACCACTTGCAAACTGAAAATAGATGAGCATCCTACATACTAAGACCCAATCACTGTGTTTTAATTTGTACATTAACAATTAAAAACCAAAGAGGTTGATCATGAATGACTCTTTCAAGCAAGCAACACTTTTAGGGATCATCTTTCAATAAGAATTTTATACTATGTTTTTTTCGGTAAATTTACTGTTTATTTTTGTTATTGTCTAGTTATACCGCCAGCAACAGGATCAAGAGATTACCAAATGATAAATATAAAATTCAGATAACTTGGTCTAATTTAATATATTCAGTTACTGTAGTAGAACACATTATTTAAGTTTATTAAGCATTTCTTTCACATGAATCAAGATTTCTTCATCAAGGACCTTCGTTCTTAATATAATGTAAATCCAGGGACCTACACTCATTTATCACACTCATCACTGTGTATTATAGTTAAGTATGCATTAACATCTACAATGAGCATCTAATAATTTGATTTTAATACATTAAACCTTTATATATGGAGCTTGTGGAAAAGTAAGAATATTGAAGATACCAGTGGTGGATGAAGGAATTCAAAATAGTGGGGTTTACGAGGGACTTTCACAGATGGACGGTTTATACCACCTCAGCCCCACCATGATTGGGAGTGATTTGATTTGATTTGGTTTGGCATCATATACATATAAAATTCATAAAAAATCGATAAAGTAAAAAAATTTATGATTATTCCAGCCACCTCTAGATGGCCAGAATTGACACTCTGAGACTTTTTTCTCCGTGCCAGTTGTGCCCTGTCTGCCACTGGATACAAAAACAAGCAATATTTAGGAAAAACAATGAGAGAGTAGCTAGTTCATGCTTTTGCGCCCAAATAATGGAAGATAGAGATGTATGCTAAAGTACTGTAGATTCAGAATGTTTTAAAATGAGAATGTAGGAAAATAAAAACAGTGATAAACAAAAAACCAACTACAATAGAAGATTATGGCATATGGATGTAGTAATTGGCATTAGCACCAGAAATCTTGTAAGGGGAAAATGCAGAACTGTAGCTGCCGTGTTTACAGAATGTATTTTTATATACTATGATATTTACATTCTTAATGTGGAAGGTAAGTTAATTTTAAGAAAATTCCCCTGCTCTTCCTTGCATTTATCCATGTTATAGTAAACTTTATTTGACATGCTGGTATAATTGAAGAAATTTTAGGTATCAGTTAACAATGAGTTGTTTTGGGAGTATACAAGCACTTATCTTTAATCTTGAAATTTCATTGTTAGAACTGCAAAATTTACTGGTTGATGGCAAAAAATCTTTACAACGGCATATGCACCAGCTATAATAATGCTTACATCACCCCTGAGAGGATAAATTGAAAAATTCAGTTGTAATTTTACAGCATAAATCATTCAACATTGATCCGTTTATAGTACAAATAGCGGCATTACCTTTTCTCAAGTGATCAAATTAATCAAAATGGAAAATAGAATTGAAGATGTTGTTTTTTACTGTACTTTGCTTGTGGCAGCTATGGACTTCAGTTATGGGTGACACAATCCCATTTTAAATACATTTTTCTGAAGTCTGTTTATCACTTTTTATGTTCTCAAAATTTTAAATAGTTATAATTTTCATAGATCTATGACCTTGTAAAATTTCAATAGGGTATGGTAATTTATGGCTGAGCAAGTTTTCCATAGAAAAGTGAAATTTCAACTTGTTTTTTTTTTTCCCTTGGAGTGGCAGCCCTTCTCATTGGCAATGCCACTAGAATCAAAGAGTATGGAACTGCAAGAGGTCCGACTGCCATGATTTTGTATGCACGCAATGGAACGTTAAAAAAAAGTTACTGTCACAAGATAGGTGGCATCCTATTAGAATTCTGTGTTATTTTTTGTTTAATACTATATATTTATATACTGTATGTGTATTTTAAGACATCCTGTAGTGGGTGATACTGCTGTTGGATGTAGTTGAAATAAAGTAAAATAAAATAAAAATATAATAAAAATTTGAATAGAGTTCGCTTGAAACTTGATGAAGTTTATCTTACCTTATGTTTAAGGACACACCACTTCATGGCAGTACTTTTTGAAATACGATTACGTTCCAATGAAACCAAGAGAATCAGACCTCTTGTAGCTCTAAACTCTTTGCTAGAATTCATAAAAGATGAATGATATCGCAGTGGGCACTATACTTGGAACCTAGTAAGATAGGAGAAGGGATGAAGAAAATTTCACTTTGTAGTGGAAAGAGGCAATTAATTTGTTCTCCCACCTGTTCAGTTTTGTCTATTAAATATGAAATTGATGAATTGTTATCATGATTCAATTATTCTATACATATTTTATTGTTCTCAATTTGTCCCAGGAACGTTTGCTTCTATCTGTCTTACCACGCCATGTTGCCATGGAGATGAAAGCGGACATTGCAATAGATAAGGAGTGTGTTCAGTTTCACAAGATTTATATTCAGTGTCATAGTGATGTCAGGTAGGGAAAAAAGCTTAAAAATTGTTTTTGTTAAACTGAATATTAAGTGAGGTTCACAGTTTTGCTATATTGATTTTGCTTTTGTGTCCCTACCCACTCAATCTCTTAATTTTGAATGCGGGAAAGTCAAATTTCACACTAAACCAAACTTTTTTTCCCAAGTCCCAAAACCATTCTTATTCTTCGCTTTAATAAAATACTTTCTGAAAACCGGATCTCCCTATTTCAAATTCCGGATGTTTTAACTTCTACAAACCGAACAAACAATTAATAAACAACTATTTCTGGGAAAAAATAATGCAATAATCATCGTTGTCTAGGAATTAACAACTAGGCCTAGCACAACACCCTGTGAACGAACTGTTTGCAAAGCTAGCTCAGTTCTAATAGCGTTGCCGTAGAGATTTTCTGTTGATTAAAAATGACACGCCAGTAAACATTAATGTTAAAGTGAAAGTTATGCCTTCCATTGTTTTAATAAAGTACATTATCGCTTTATGCCTAATCCTTAAAAATCGATTGGAATCAACCTGAAATGAAGACAAAACTCAAGCAAGTTTCTACAATGGCTGACTCTTTTCAGTAGACGTTTAATTCAGATTTGGATGTCGTTAAATTCGTCATTGTAAATTACAAATATATACTGAGCTTCACTCATTCCTCAAAAGCATGTTGCTAATTACGGAGGAAATTCATAGAGAGTGAAATTTAAATTTGTTACATTTATTTAGATTTGACTAAAACAAATCATGAGGGTTTCTTATTTGTTTTAATAAATCTGTTTAATTAAAAATTTATCGGTTTACACTGAGCTTGCTCCTGTGAGCAAGCTGTCACGCACTATGAAACTTTGGGCGATCTCATGTCCTCACAGCCATGCCTAAGTTTGCCCATCAATGACCCCACAAAAAATTAACCAATTAGCAGGCAGAGTTTAGGAGGCACGACCTGATGTTTACAAACAACTGACTAGCAAGTCGTATCGTGACCATGAAGAATGTGTTGTGTTTAGAAAAAAATGTCAGACTGAAAATGCATGTTAAAAACAATATAAAAGCATTCATATTTTTGGTACAGTACTTAAATTTGCTGTGCAATACAGCAAAACAACAGGCACTGTATGTATTATATGTTAAATAATATGTTAACTTTTCGTAGGCTAGTCATAAGAACTCACTGGGCTTTGCTAAGCCTATTTTGCAAAATGGCCAATTCATTCCAATTGGAAAAAATCATATTGGATCCAATTGGAAAATACATCATTGGATTTTGGCACTTTCCAATTGGAAATTACATCATTGGATTTTGGCAATTTCCAATTGGAAAATACATCATTGGATTTTGGCACTTTCCGATTGAACTTGTTTCCAATTGGACTTGTTTCCAATTGGATGTTATTAGCTCAATTGGAAAACTTCCAATTGGAAAGTGCCAAAATCCAATGGGATAAAAGTGGATTTTGGCACTTTCCAATTGGGATTTATCCAATTGGATATTATAAACCCAATTGGAAAATATTCCAATTGGAAAGTGCCAAAATCCAATGGGATAAAATTGGATTTTGGCACTGTCCATCTGGAATTATATCCAATTGGGTGTTATAAACCCAATTGGATAATATTCCAATTGGAAAGTGCCAAAATCCAATGGGATAAAATTGGATTTTGGCACTGTCCAACTGGAATTATATCCAATTGGGTGTTATAAACCCAATTGGATAAAATTCCAATTGGAAAGTGCCAAAATCCCATTTTATCCCATTGGATTTTGGCACTTTCCAAATGGGATTTATCCAATTGGGTTTATAATGCCCAATTGGATATAATTCCAGTTGGACAGTGCCAAAATCCAATTTTATCTAATTGGATTTTGGCACTTTCCAATGGGAATTTTATCCAATTGGATAACATAAAAAAGATGGACACCAATTGGGAAATGCCAGAACCAAATGAGGCTTCAAAGAGGTTGACAAACACTGCTAAATACTGAAAAAAAAAAGAAAAATAAACAATTGTTATTTTATTTATTTTAAATTTATTTAAAATACAAAAATGAAATACTGCACAAAGCCTGTTCGTTAAAAATATGCTATAATAATGTCATGGAATGTGAAACTATTGTTCACAAAACATATTTTAAATCTGGTTTCTGTTAAATATATACAGTCATACCTACAGTAATAATTATTATTGCACCCCACCTTTATTTTTTATTTTGGTTCCGCAGGTCAGCAATCTTCTTAACTATAGCTGTTACAGTAACTTTGCAATTCGTCCTAGTAGTTCTCTATAACTGCACCAGACATTCTGAAAAACAATAATATTATAAAGATTAATTTTAATAGCTAATCAGCATGAGGGAAATTAATTTCGTTTCACATATCCTAGTACAAGTAGCTTAAAAAATACACTCCCCAAAATGTACTCATTGGGAAGTATTTTAAGTGGTGCTAGCGAATGGCCAGAGTGAGGTACTACATGCATATTTAAGTATCCAACTCACCCTCTTTTAATATTCTTTTCCTTGTCAACAGCTTGAAATGTACGCTTACATTTTTGGCGAACAAATTCATTTTTGGAGTGGTCGATATCAAAAACACAAATTGCAATTCCTATAGCCTTGACACTTGCTGGAAAGTTGAAGTTAAAATTTAATGTTTAGTTTCAACAGAAAATACCTGACATCAGATACTTGCAGAGCCTTGCTTCAAAATTCAGTTACTTAATCTGTTAAAAACAATCAAATACAATATAGGCCTAGAGATAAAAAGCAGTTTGACCGGTACTGATGATATAATAATAATCATTCATAAATTATCAACAATAAAATAATTAAACAGTACTACTAGGCCTAGCATGCCTTTATATAGGGCTAGGCCTAGAAAAGGCCTACAGATATAGCCTAGCCTTCCCTATACTAGGCCTGGGCTCACATGTAGGCCTCACTACTAGGCTAGCCTAGGCCTAGTACTAGTAATACAAATTATATCCCCCTGCTGGCCTAGGTTAGGCCTCTATATTATCTGAAATCAACAAATTTAAATTAAAAAAAATTAAATGAAGTTTAAAACAAATATGAAATAATCTGAACTAGGCCTAGGCCTAGCCTAATCATTACCCTGTTATTATTGAGTTAGGCTGTGCAAGCATAGCCTAGGCTTGGACAGGCCTAACGATATGGCATGTAGTAGCAGACAAAGCCCCACCTACACAGCCATATGCTACCATGCCTGAGGAAGGCTATACACTGGCATTTGGCTGGCAATAATGTTCGATTTTTAAATTCAGTTTCTACAGTAATTAATCTAAGCCAATATTCATTTCAAAAAAAATCTAAGAAAGGACCAGGCTTATTATTGTATTAAATTGTTTAGGAATTTGAACACAAAATTGATAAAATACTTACTTTTTATGAACAAAAACAACTCAGAGCAGGACAGCCTGTCATATGCTCTCACCCATTGTGCAAAAATGGCGCATTTTAACTTTAAACTTTTTTCACGCAGTTGTCAAGAAACCTGTTAATACTGCATTCTGATTGGTCAAATAAATCCCAATTGGAATTAACACAATCCAATTGGATAATTGTTATCCAATTGGAATTTAAAGACAATCCAATTGGATATTTGTTATCCAATTGGAATTTTAAAACAATCCAATCGGATATTTCTCTTCAAATTGGAATTAAAAACAATCCAATTGGATATTTGCTATCAAATAAATCGCAATTGGAATTAACACAATCCAATTGGATATTTCTTATCCAATTGGAATTTAAAGGCAATTCAATTGGATATTTGTTATCCAATTGGAATAAGTAAAAATTCCAATTGGATATTTATAATCCAATTGGAAATTTAAAAAAAAAATTCAATTGGAGATTAATTGTCCAATTGGATTTTTCCAATTTCTAATTGGTCATTTGTCATCCGATTCATTCAAATTGGATTTATAAAAAAAATCCTATTGGACATTTGTTATCCAATTGATCTCAATAGGATTTTTTCCAAAATTCCAATTGGAATATTTTTTTCTTAATTGGAACCAATTGGATCCAATTCATTCCAATTACAATCGAACTGACTCATATTGAATCCAATTCAATTTCCAATTGGAATGAATTGGTCATTTTTGTAAGGGGCACTTACTGGCCTACAACAGCCTTCTTCGGAATGAGTACAATGTTCCACCAACTGAACTTTCCAGAAAACCGAACATCGTACCCGTTCCGGAAGGGGGTCGATATTGGGAGAGTGCACTGTATTACCCTCACCGAAGGGTATTGCAATATCATGCGTCTGTTTGTCGGGCTGATGTGTGTGTATCTGTGGTGTGTGTGTGTCCTTCAAAACGCATACCTCAAAAACTACTGGTCTAATTTACTTCAAACTTTCACACCTTGACAATGTTACATGTATCTCAATCCTCCCCGAATTTGGTGTTGATCAAAAATAAGATGCACATATATGGGATATATGCAAACTCGCCTAAATGATGTACTTGCCACTCGAGGCCTATGATGCTAGGCCTTGTTTGGCAGATGGATTTTTTCAGTACATAAATATGGGGTGAGGGTTTGTAATCTCAGATTATCTAGTTGTATATGTATTCTGTATGTAATTGTATTGTATTGTACTTAAAAAGAATAAGAATAAGACTGATACCTGTTATTTATTACCACACTTGCTACTAATTCCAATAGCCGCTTTCATGTTGAAGATACAGTTGGCTGTTATGGACCATAGAAACAGTTGACATATTGTAAACATAACCATTGAGAAGGATCAAATATGGGGCTTGCCATGCCATAACCATCATTGGTGACCAAAACAAGAAAATTGGCTTTTTAATATTTTTATTCTCCACATTATACAGTAAGCTTTATAATGACATTTACTGGAATTTACTTTACAGTGTTATTGCCAAAGTTATGAGTAAAAGTATTACAGCTTCTCTGTACTAAAGTATACAATATTGCTACATTCTTATGCTAATACTCAGTTTAACAATCAGCAACAGTATGCTGGTTTGATGATGGCAAAGCCTCATAAATTTTAATATTTGCTATTGGCAATTCATAAATTGCCAATATGCAAACCAAATTATTCCTTATTTCCTTTGTCCTTTCTTTTTCCTATAATATTTTTTATTTCTTTATTTTTCTTTATTGATCATGTAAACAATGATGAAAATTACAAAATTCAAACAGATAAAACATACAATGAGAAACAAAAATGTAATTATCGAACAGAAAAATGTAAAAAAAAAAACAATTAGGTTCAAAATTTAATTACACAAAATTTGTTGTACACGGCTCATCCAACTGGTGTAGTCACGCATTTAAAATCTGTCAGTGTATCCATTATTCTTAAAAGAGTGAGATTAATCAACTCAGTTTTCAGATAGGGCTGCTTTCCCAAATTGACCTATGCAGACATTTCACTAACAACTATGTAGCAATAGATTCTGCCTCATTAATTCAAAGAAAAATATTAACATAAATTAATTAATTCAACATTTCAAGATAAGTATACGCTCATTAAATATCAATTTCACCAGAATTCAATCATTTAAATTGTTATCAGCTATGCTGCAGTGTATAATACTCCCCATTATGTTTGAATATTAATGATTTTCTATAGGGTACCCATATTTACCCCTATGCCCAATTGTGCCAATAATGAAGGAGATGGGGGTTTGAAATTGTATTGCTGTAGCACACAAAATGGTCAGTAATGGTACTCTCAGTCAGTTGAGTATTATTTTCTTTTTTTTTTCTCCCATTTTTTTTTTTTTTAATTGAATCTACCCTTGTAATAATAAGTTTCAGGATTTCTTTATTAGTCAATGTTATAGGCCTAATATGATGAAATTCTTTTACAGGGTTTAATATGAAATTTTAAAAAAAACAATAACAAAATCTTATATATAAGAGAATACAGTACAATGATTTGAAAATCTATTAAATATAGTTTGATTACACACGGTACAGAGTGGCACATATTTTGAATTTATTATTATACAGTGGAATTAATTTTGGAACGAAAGATTGTGCAGCATGATTTGAATTGCACTTAATTTGCAGAATTCAGCCTGAGGCATTAAAAAAACAGTATTTATCATATTCTGTGTGGGATGTATCATTTATAATAGTATCAAGTTTTTAAAGAACATTAGTTTCTTGCATTGTGTTTACTTGTTGTAAATCTTTACCAATTAATTTTTTTAGATTTGTAATCTACTATAATGCTCAATGGGGATGTAACATTTACTGTATAATATTATCAAGGTTTTTTAGAACATGAGTTTCTCAGGTTGTGTTTACTTTTGTTAAATCTTCACTAATTATTTTTCTAATAGATTTTTAATCTATACTATAATGTACAGTATCCTAAATTTTGTAGTATTAAACACTGAAATTTGGCATTGTTACTACAAAAATAATTTTGAAGAGTGTTTTAAACATGTTATTCTATTGAGTCTTGCCTACATAGACCCTACGCATACTTTAAAGCCCCATTCCCGGCAAAATTTCAGTTGTTAAGAAAAATATGATTTTTGTATATGTTATAAAGATGTATAAATATAATACGAAATTGCTAGATTAACTGAATTTAGAAATTCCTAAACATGAAAAAAAAAATGTAAACTAGGACTGAGACTTTGATTTTTTATCAAATTAGTTAAAAATCTGATTCTGACCAAGATTTTGACACTTAAACAAACATATCTCGATCGACCGCAGTGTGCGAGATGTGAAGTACAAAATCTAATCTCATTAGAGAGGGCGCACTTTATTGACTGTATAAAGTATACATAAAAGTGAGAGCATTTCAGCGGATGCGATCTCCCGCCTCTGAATTTGCCTAGTAACGAAGAATTCGTCTAGAAATTGGTAATCTCTTATGAGAAATAGTCTGTATTTCTCATTTTTTTTATTCTTTTGCATAGAACTAAAATTTATGCCAATATTTTCCCATTATTTATAATAATTAGAGTAATGCATATGCATTTTTTCAAAAAGTATTCTTTTTTTTTTGTGAAATTTACTGGGAATGGGGCTTGAACACATTAAATATGTTGCAATAGAGGGCGTCAAGTTTTATTAATCTTTATGCTTGAGTGGCAGCAAGCACACCGGGAACCATATCAGCCACCAGCATCGTGCTTTTTATGTAGCGCTGCATGAAACACTAATGAGGTACAACATTTTTTGACATCACAGATGAGTTATAATTTTCATTTCATTTCATTTATTTATTCGACCAAGAACACAAAAGAAGAGCAAGACAACGAGAAACAACACAATGGTCAGGAACAGCTAAAGCAAATTAATAACTGTAACTCAAAAGAGTCAGCTGCCCCTTAAATATATAGAAACATTTATATTGCACACAATAGAACATATAAAAATATATAAATATAAAAATCCCAAGCCAAAAATCATTCAAAATTGCAAATTAGGAAATTCAAAAGGATTACAAAAAAAGGCAATAAGATTAATTATTAAATATTGAATCATTATGGTTATGTACAAAATTAGGTAAAAATTTTTTAAAAATTAAAAAGACAAATGATTTAAATAGCATATATACAGTTTAAGTTACAAATTACAACAAATTGAGATGAATTAACAATAAAAAGTTACAAGGTAGATTAAAAAGGCAAATTTACAATAATTGTATAGTAATAATAACTTACAAATTGTTAGTATAATTAATAACTTACAAATTTATGCTGTGCCTTTTACCAAGGTATATGACACTGGCATTGATTGTATTATCACCCCAGTCCCTGGGTCCATATATGGCAAACCTCCATTTCTGGCATGAAATTATTGAGGCATCTGCATTGTGTACCGACTATCAATATCTTAGGTACTTACATATATTTCGTTTGAGATCCCAATTGGCAACACCAGCTATACGTGCCAAACCCCTCCCATCAGTACTACTGTATCAAGATACTATAGAAATACAAGATAAAACTCACGAATAACAAAACTATGATTAACTATTTAAGCTACCAATAAAGCTGTGAAGCATATAGTGCACACAAAAAAAAAACATGGGCTTATACCAGTTTTATCAATTTTAGTCAATTTTTACTTCCAGACTTTTAAATTAATATACATTGGAATCTCAAAATAACGAACGCCCAGAAAACCGAATCTCACATTAATACAAACACATTCCTATTCTTTCTTTGATAAAAGGTATTCTGAAAGCCAAATCTCTCCCAATTCCGAAGTCCGGAAATATTCGGTTTAAAACACAAAAATCAACTTCTGCAAACCAGTTAATAATCGATTTCTAGACAAAATAAAATAACACAATAATCATCACAGTTTAAGAATTAGCAAGTACGTCTAGCACGCTGTGAATGAACCGTTCATACTGCTTAGCTGTAGTTCAATAAAATTGCCATGGAGATTTCTATTGATTGCAATGACCACCAGTAAAACGTTTATAATGTTAAAGTGAAAGTTACGCCTTCCATTGTTTTAATGAAGTGCGTTCTCGCCTCTTTTCAGTAGATGTTTTATTCAATACCGATTGCCAAATAGAATTTTAAGTACAATACGTTTCCTTATATGATAGGTTGCTCAGAAAATGATGTTTGTGATTCTTATTATAAGGAAAAAGAAACATTAATACATTTGTTTTGTGAATGCAATATTGTATGTTCTTTTTTGGGAAAATGTTCAGAATTGGATACATAGAAAACTGAATGTTATTAATTTTTATAAATTAACTATAATTTTTGAATTTAGAAACAAATCACTTATATTAGATAACTTTATTTTAATTTGTATTAAATATTATATATATATAAAAAAATGTGTAGGAAAAACCAAATGCTACTGAATCACAGCAAGAGTTAAGTCATGTTATACAAATTTTTAAAAAATTTGCTTTACTTGAAGGAAAGTTCGATGAATTTGATAAAAATGGTCTAATATAAAAAAGACTCACTTTTGAGAAGTCCTTTAAAAAGAAGGGTTTACTGTTGATGTAAAGTAAGGTTGAAAATATGATTCTTTAACAAAATTCATATTATATTGTATTGTAAACTGATGTTCTGTGTTGAAGTAAATTTCTCTGGAAAGTGTTTTTACACCTAGCACTATAATGCTCGTCTGTGGAAAGAGAGGGCAAACACTCGCCGAATCGTTGTTTGTTGGCTAGCGGTAATTGAAAAAAATGACATCGGTAAAACAAAGTGTATTAGAACCTGAAGGAAGTCACTTCAAATTCAATACCATGTACGAATCAATGGACCCTAATAAACTAAAGAAACTGAACGTTTAATAGGAATATTAAAGACACAAAAAAAAATTATGACAAGTTCTTCAAACAAAATCAAAATATACACAACAGTTTGATTATAAAACTAACATTGAAAGACAACGATTGACTTATAAAGCAATTAAAATAATGATTATCTATACACTAGAAGAAATATGTTAGGTTTAGACGAATGCATTAAAAAAAATTCCTTCCGGCTTTGCATGCCCTCAGAATTTTTTTTTTTTTTTTGCATTAATGTAACCTTTGCAAAATTATTTCCACTATTGTATGATATACAACTATTCTAATTAAATCTCTATTATTTACATAGCAATATTATATTCAGCAAACCTTGGCAGCTGTTATTAAACATTATTTAGTCGATGTGAGTTCTACCATATACATTAGTTCTGATTATTAATAGACTTCTCATTTATCATTACAGTATTCTATTTGCCGATATTGAAGGCTTTACCAAATTGTCATCGCAATGCACTGCTCAGGAACTTGTCAAGATTCTGAATGAGTTATTTGCAAGGTTTGACTGCTTAGCACAAGTAAGTTTGATCATCACCCAAATTAATGTTCATATCTTAGTGAGTGGAATGAACTGTTATATAAAAAGAAGATATATCGCTGTTTGTGGACCGATTTATAAATAGGAACATATCTTCTGACATCAAACATCTTAATGTCAGTGTATCATAATGTTAGGCCAACAAATTATATGTAAAGGTTATGTTTTATTTCAGTTATTGTAACACTGTTTTATATTTTAGTATATAGATTAAACATGAATCATGAGATATTAACCTGTATTTGCCCATTGCACGGATATGAAGAACCCTATGGATAAGACTTTTTCTGGAAGATTAAATCCATAAAAAACTTTAGTGTTGTGCATGTGCGGTACCGGAGATTTTATATACTGTAAAGTATAAAGTATTTTAGATTGTGCGTGAATGGTACCTCAAAAACTAGCTCGAATTTTCGCTGAAAATCGCTAGGAATATCTATTTTTGAGTTAAATCTGCACAGAAGTCGGCCCTTATTTTCTGAAATGTGCGGACAGATCCCTCTAGCCTAGCAGGCCTGGCCTCTGTAGTCTAGCGTGCGTGGAGGATATATGTAGGTCTATTCCCCGTGCTGGCGACAGGCCTGCTTTTACAGTCTGAGACACTTCCAAGAAGGTGAGTTTTGTTTTGATGGCAGGCGAAGAAATAAGCAATCTTTTAGATGGTTGCAATTCTGTAAATACTAAAAAACAAAGTGTTTGGAATCGTATGCAGGCCTATGGGGACATCCTTAGGACAGATAAAGAACTGGATATCGAATGACAAGGATATATTTAGGTGGGTTATAAAACAATAATGAATGTTTTGTATTCGTACAATGGAAAGAATATTTTTATTTTTGACTTCCATTCAACTCGGCTCTGCCTCGTTGAATGGAACAGGCAATCTTTAACTCATGAAATATTCTTCCTTTGGACTCATAAACATTCATTATTTGACTGTCGAATATAGACATTGAGGAGCTTAAGTCTTTTGGGTGTCTGTGAAGCCTTGAACATGCCCCGAGTAGTTCACGAATGCAAAAAGATTTGGAATCACTGGTGTAGATCAGCAGTGTGTGTATTTTTAAATAATCATAATTTTTTTTTTTAAATATTCACTTTTTTTCTCATCAACGGGTGTGCTAACAGGTAAAACCTAATAAATGTATTTTTATTTGAAATTATCGTTATTAGCGGGCGGTGTGTATTCCATGAATCAAGTCTAATCTGTTAAGTGGTTTATGCTACTCAGCCTTGGGTGCAAGTAGGCTGATCAACCCAGCTGGCTTTTACTTGGTATTAGGATGTCATCTCATTCTATTTTAATTTAGTTTTGTGTGACAACTAAGGGCTTTGTTTCAGTGATGTAAACAAGATAAAATGTTGAGGCTGTAGCGTGCACTTATGGAATGGTAAAAATATACTAGACCTATCATTTTGAAAATTATCCATGAAAGTGAAGGTTATTTCTGCACCTTATTCATTAACAATTATAGACTGAAAACATAAATGATAGCTTGAAAGTTTGATAAATGAAGAGGCAGGTGTGACAAACATGATGAATGTTTATTACAGAAGGTTTGCTTCAACAGCTTTCTAGGCAGAATAGACCGACTGAAAGAAAGATGTATGCTCAGTGGCCGATCTAGGAATTTGAAATAGAGGAGGCCCAGGGAAGGACTTTTACAGATGGGCGGGGGGATCCAATACCACCTCAGCCCCACCATGGTTGGGCTGAAGTAAGAAAATTCATGATTACGGTACCTTTAGATGGCCAGAAATGGCACTCTTGCACTTAAATTTGAATACAATTTTCTTTTCTTCTTAATTTTTTTTTTTATAATTTCAACAAATTTAGGGGGACCTGGCTATTCCCCTCCCCCTTGAATCTGCCACTGATGCTATCAAGATGCTGAAATAAATATTGACAGTTGGATAGACCAACAGATGGCAGTGTGCTTAGACTTCAATATAGAATGTTATAACCAGCTTTTTACACATATTTGTAAAAGAAAAACTTTAGTTCAAGTTCCAACAGGTTGCAACTTTCACATTCATAAAGTCACAGTTCATAAAGTCACAGTAAACGTCCAACTTCAACGTTCCAGTGTAATGAAGCTGAAAATGCTTTAACACCTGACAATACAAGGGAGAATTTTATGAGCAGAAATAGTTTCAGAGAACCAGTAATGATTCCCATTTGTCAAGTTCAATAATTGACCTAAATTTAATGTTATAGTGTGAAGTACTTAAGGTGCGAGCTAGTTTTACGGTATCTACATTGTTAATTTCGCTTTTTGTAGTATGTTATGATTTTAGAAAGTAAGACTTAGGTTGGACAGACAGATGAATGGACGGATATACAGCACGAATATGAGCCAACAGACTAGAGAGATAAATAAGTTGTGTAGATAGATTCGTATAAAAAGGATAAGATTCGAACCAAGACATTCTAATAAAAAATCAGGTATTACACCAAGTATTTGTACAACTTTGTACGAGGTGAATGAATTGTAAAGGTAATAAGATGTTGCAAGTTTACTTACTTAGAATCAGAATGAGTTATTAATAATTCAAATCACATCTGTATCGTTCCATTTTTTACCCTTAGGAAAACCATTGTCTTCGCATCAAGATTCTTGGAGACTGCTATTATTGTGTGTCAGGGCTGCCCGAAGCAAGGTCTGACCACTCGCATTGCTGCGTTGAGATGGGCCTAGACATGATTGATGCTATTGGGTATGCCACACCATTTTATTTATAATGTCCATGCTCATTTTGCCTCTTGAGTATGAGCTTTATAAAGCAATATAAACTTGTGTGAAATGACTATAAATTGAAAGAATATATGATTTGTAACAGCTATGATTTGTTTTCTCTGTAAACCTTGCAAGCATAATATCAAGGATGATTGCAGTATAGTGCTGTACCCTGAAGTGTTTTATAGCTTCTACTTTTTTAAATTTAAATGTATATTCTAGGCATATATTAATATTGAATTTTATGAGTTATCTCTTTTATTTTCTGATTAATTTTGATTGCTTTTTGTACTAGTGTATTTTATAATTATGAAGGATAGGGAGCATATCTTATCTTTCCTATCCAGGCCATACATTTTATTTTCATTTTGTATACTTTTGAAAAAAATTATTATTATTATTATTGTTATTATTATTATTATTATATATATCATTATTATTGTATATATCACCATTATTATTATTATTATTATTATTATTATTATTATTATTATTATTATTATTATTA